TTATTGCAGGTTTCCTTATTAATTACCATGTCACCATGCAGACATGGATCAGCTGAGAGCCATCATGCATCTGCCTCCTACATGATCCACTGAAAAGGCTTTTGCTTCCATTCTACTCAATCCTGGCTCAGAGAAGCTGATTTAATTTGATTCTTAGTAACATTTAAGTTCAGAAATGACAGATTTTACTCCTGCAGAATGCTAAAATTTCATTGTCTTTGCCTTAAGCATAAACTAAAGCTTTGAATCTCAACACTTAACTGAGGTCAATATATGCTGAGGGAAAAGTAGATGATGCTTACAGGCAGGAAAGTTGAGCTTATGGATCTGTTTTTCTACAAGCCATCACCATATATGTCCTGAGCGATCTGTGCTGCCCATCGGACTGCATCCCTGACCTTGTCTCTTCTTAGGACACAGCAACTGTTCTTTTGGGGCATTTAATTTTTTTTTTTTTTGTTATTTTCAGTGGTTTTATCTTACAGTTTATCTACAAGTGGGGATAAGCTGCAAAGCCAAGAGCAGGGAGATAAGACAGAATATCATAACATCCTTCACCATTTCTAATGAAGACTGTTTAATTATAAAATATCAAGCACCACAGACCTCTGGGCTGGGGCAAGCTATTGGGAGAATGTGATATTCATGGATAAGCTGTGTATTTTTACTTCATTTGGAAGATGAGAAGATTCTCTCATGAAGTGACTGTAAATCTGCCTGACCTGAACACAGAACTTTTTGCATGTTCTCACCTACTTTCCTTATCTGCTGAACTTAGTGAATTCAGAGAGTGGTTTGTTTGGGTTTTTTTTAGGAAAGGAGCCATAAGCCCAAGTCAATTCACAGGTCTTCATATCCACAGAAGAATATTTTGGAAGTCCAGAATATTATTTAGCAGTGTTTCCATATCTACACTTTTTCTTTATTTGGTTTACAAGTAGAAGATGCAGTTCAACTGTAGATTATTTGCAGGAAAATGGACACATTATGAACAATCCATCTTTCTAAGAAGCACTAGGCCTCGCTTGACATAACTTTGGAAGTTGCAAGCTGTGCGGTGTTTATACTTGCAGACTGTGTGAAACTATGTGAGTTTATAGTTGTTAGCTGTGTGAATACTGTATGTTTATAGTTGTAAGGTATGAGAAAACCATGTGTTTATAGTTGAAAGTTGTAGGGAAACTGGAGATAAAGGGACACTTGGAAAATTTCGGAAAGCCCCTAAAGGCGGATCGATAGGAGGGACTTTGGGTGGCACGAATGATGTCAGACCGTGTGGACAGAGCACCAGAACCAATGAGCTGAAGGCATGAGATGCGTGCACAGACTGAGCTATCCAATCACCTTGTTGTAAGCACGTACCTGGAAAAAACTAAACTGTATAAAAGTTAACTCATTTAAATAATAAATTGAACATCGTCTGATCATATTGATTGTCTGCGTGTGTTCCGGAACTCCTGCCGTCCATATTCAACAGTATGTGATTTAATCTTGTCTCCTGTTAGAGATGACTGAGGCTAAAATGCTCAATTTCCCTCAAATATCAGAGGCCACATTTTGCTTAGCAAAATTTATTATTCATAAGCAAAGATATACTTAAATGTGCAAATTTACAATGCATTGTTTGTTTGTTTGTTTGTTTTCATAAAGTTTTCTGATAGATTTCTAAAGGGCATTATTTCCCCTGAAGTATTTTCCAGTTTGGTAATGAGATTCAGTGTTTCTAGTGTTGGAAACAAAATACTTAGATCTGGAAATGTAAATACTGCACTCTCCCCACTACTATTTCTGTGACCTCTTAAATATGGAGAAAAAACCCTCTAATAAATGTCAACCTCTTTAATGAGAAACTTCTCATGAGAGTCTTCTCATTAGAGAAAGAAGGCTCTAACCATGAGTGAAATGACTTGTGTTGCACTACCTGAAGATGTAAAGTTTATCCAAGTCATGAGGTGGACGTGAGCTCCTGAGTTCACCACTTAACAGGTTGGGTGGCTTAGTCTGGGCATACTTTTGACCCACAGAAGTATAGGACAATTCAACTTTCTTTAGCCTACAACAAAAGCCACTTAAGGTGTCTGTGCTGGTTTAGAGTTAACTAGCAGGGGAAATGAACTCAACTCAAAGGAGAGATTATAAGTCAGAATAACAATTTATTACAATAATACAGTAAGTACAATCATACAAACAAACAATTGGTCTTAACCCACAAAACCCAAATGTATAACCCAGTACCCTGGGGCAGGAACAACGTGGTGTTCCTTGGGCCCCGCTTGAGTCCAAAGTAAAGGGAGAGGGGAAGAACCTGCTGGTGGGAGAGCTGTTGCAGTCTGGTCAAAAGTGGTGTGATTGCAGTGAGATGCTGGGGAAAGAGCTGTTGCAGTCTGGTCAAAAGTGGTGATTGCAGTGCAGTTGAGGGTGGTCTAAGTCTGGTTGAGAGCGATGAGCTGCAGTCTTCCTCTGGATCCCACAGAGTGGTTAAAAATGTTCCAAGACTCCAAGATTATATATCCCCCAGTTCAGGCAGGAATGTTCAGTGCTTCCCTCAGGGCGGGGAGTTCCACAAAGGGTGTGAGGACAAGAGCATCCTCCTATCTCACAGGCCTCTTAACACCTAGTTTATAGCCTGAGGAGTCAGGCTCTATGGGCAGAGGGTGCGAAAAGTCTGTTGACAACAGTTTCTGGGAAATGGCATGGAAGGCTATAGAATACACAGTTTTGGGTTACACCCATACCATGATGAACTGGTCTCAATTGTCCTAACTAGGACAGTGTCACACCCTGTGTTTAGAGTATTGCCACACCAGCTACTGCCTCTTACCCAATTTGGGGTAAACTATCACGTTCTGCCATTTGATTTTTTGGTGACCTGCTACTGCCTACATCTCCTATAAATACAACATCATTAAAGTCATCATTAAATTTTTTACTGAACGCCCTGACCAGTTTTCTACAGTGCTAGGTTTTTATTTGGCAGCACTTGTATTTATTCAGTCCCGGCAATATGAGATATTGAGGAAATCACATCATCAGCCACTTTGTGATCAGCCACAGAGAGGAATATATACTTATTAACTCACTGCCTAATCTAATTTTTTAAGTTCTCACATTTTATAGTGAATCTACAGCTTCTGTTGGCACATGACTAAGAAATGGTATACAACAAGTAGATGATTCTTATTCAAATTATGCTCAGTTTGCTGCTAGAAAGTCTAGTTTATGTTACTACATGAATTACAGGATGTTGGTAACCTTTATATTTTCAATTTGGATGGATATCCTTTTACTGAGTAAGCCAGAAGGAGCTCATGCTCGAATTTACAAGTAGAATAATAATACAATAGAGAAGATGAAAGGAGGTTTACTCCTTCTTTACTGACAGAATTTTGTTAAATAGGTGAGAAAACTTTAAAACTTTTTCTCTTCCATTTATTTTTATAGACAAAACCCCTCCAACATTTTTCTTGTGGCATTCAAAGTTTATCTACTGCTGCTCATAGGCAAATGTTACCCTAGCTTTGAGAGGATCAATAAGACTTTTATTTTGGTGTTAGGAGGGCAAGTGACAATGACGGGCACAGTGTATTTTCGTCTGATTTATTCCCTTCTCATCCTCACTAAATAATCAAATACAGCTCACAGGTATAGCACACTTGGAATCTAGCAAACAGTGTTATCAGTTTTATGACATATATTTCCTCCTTCAGAAACTCTTGCAAGTATTCGCAACTGTCACTACTCTCAAACATATTTAGTGCCCGATGTTAAGCCCAGAGAAATCAATATTCACAAACATTAACAAAATTTCTAATATACTTGAAAAACTGTTATATATGAAAAAAAAATCCTACCAGCATGTGTTGGAATGAAACTTTAAATAATATATTTTAATTGTGGGAGTTTTTAATTAAAAAAACCAGGAATTAAAATTTATTTTAATCATACTTGCTCTATGTACATCTTCAATGGTTCTGCAGCAGATGGTGGAACCCAACTCATAGTGCCTACTTTTAAATAGCAGGGGCTTAGAGTGTACTGCTATTGGTTTATGAAATGTAAGGGCACCTGTCTTCCCTTTCTTATTAGCGCATGTTGCATTATTCTATGACTAACCTAGCTCAACTATGACTTGATCTTCCCACAGTGATATTGTTCTGTAACTTTGTCACTCAGGCTAAAGTGTTTCCTTATTTAACGAAATTGGTGTTTTGGTCTTTTCTCTAGTTTGAAAGATTTCTGTTTTGAGGGGCAAAAAGGTAAAAAACCCACCAAATTATTTTTAATTCTTCTTTGCAGTTTCCTTCTCTCATACTGATATCAACAGTATCAAAAATCTACATATCCCTCTAGACCTGTTTAAGATGTGAGTTGATGGATAACCTGCAATGATAAAAAAATTGTCCATATAATGTTTCTACTATATATAAACATTTGCTACTGATCTTGATAGGTATGTGTAAGTAAAATTCAAGTTAGGCATGACAAAACCTGTTGAGAGAGACCACTGTGCTGCAGGATATTCTTTTTGCAGTGTGAGCACTTTGAAAAACAGTTATTTCTCTACAGAGTAACAAATACAGACACAATAAGAAATGAAGCAGAGAATCACTCTCAGGTGCCACTCCTGCTGTTGCAACTCATTGTGCCTTGTGTCTCCAAAACTTTGTTATGAGCGATTATATCTTTTGAAGTAGGTGGCTAGGGAAACCATGCTCTCTAAAGATTCCCCAAAGATTCACCATCTGTCAAAAGTGAGCCATTCTGCCACCTTTATAATTAACTGGTACCTCACACCTACATTCTCACACCTACTGTAACATACTGTTCTTGAGAATAAGCGTATTGCCACACTGATGGCAGCTCCTCTTCTAAGGCATTGCTATTATGTATTATCATAAACCAAGACAAAATGCAAATGTTTACTCTAGGAAAAAATCATAATGACATCCCAGAGGAGTACATGAGTAAACACATTTCACAGTTGCTTTTTTATCAACCAGGTCCCTGCAAGAGTTTTCAGAAAGTCCAGCTATGTCAAGACGTGAGAATCTCAGCTCTTCCCACTTGTTCGTGCTCACTGATGCACCCAAGAGGTTAGTTAGATCCATGTATTTCCAGTGAGGAATACCAGGTATTAGTTCATCAAGGGATCAACAAATATGAGTACAATTTTAAATAAGCAGTCAAGGTCTCAGTCTGTAAAAGCCATGTACTCATTTATTTGAACAAGAGCAAAATAATCTTTACAATAACATGTATCTGATCTCCAATGCATTTGCATCAGTGCAAAAATCAAAACCTACCTGAAACTGCAGCGGGCTTTGAATCCCCTGGAAGATAAAAGACTGTGAGTTCTTATGGCAGCTGCAGCATGCCTTGTCTATACTGTGTCTAGAGAGAAGGGAACCTGCAGAGCTGTGAACCTACACCTTTTATTAATGTTCTACTTGCTAAGTTATCTAGATGTAATGCCACCAGATTCCTTTGGGGAGAGGAACGTATATTAATCTTTTAGCAATGTAACCCAAAATGACTACTTTCACTTAAGAAGTAGTCCCCACGGGAGGGGGAAAGAAGGGAAGATAGCTGCTTGTTAAAAACAACACCATATGATAACTACTGCAAGGGAAAGGTGGTACCAAGACAGTAATGTAAATAATCCTATTTTCACCACAGCATCACTGAATGGCTGGTGTTCTGGGAAAAGGATCCAGTGGAGATTCTGCTTAATTTGGGGTTTGGTACAGAAGAACCTGATGTCTGCACAAAAATCCCTCCTCGGTTCCTCAGTGGTGCTTCTGTAGCAAAAGGGTTCAACGTCCAAGTCTTTTTGGAAGCTCAGAAGCAGCGGATGGATGTTGAGAAGCCAAACCTACATGGTAAGGAGAGACATTTTGGCAAAAGGAGAAGTTTTAGCCATAAATAGTGTGGGAACTTAGAAGGTAGGGAAGAAGATGGTTATGAAAGAAAATTAATGAAAAGGGGACATGCATTTAGGGGACAACGAGGAACCTCACCCCATTTGTGACAATGATACTTCCTAATATGACTAGCTCTACTTAGCTGTGGACTGATTTCTGTGGTGAAGCTACTAGCTTGTGGCATTTAAAAAAAAACCCTGCACATCCTCTATAAGACCTATCCCATGACCAGAGACTGTTCTTGGTGTCGCAGAGGCTGCCAAATTATGTGGGTCAAGTGACTCAGCCACTTCACTGTAGATACCTTAATATGTACCCACCATCATTGGTGATGTAAGCCAATACAGAGGATATTGAATTCAGTCAGGCCTGACGGGGGCCTATGTGGGCACAGGATCCCTGCTACAGGACAATGTGCAGACTAGATGACAAGGTATTAACTTTCTGTGACTAGAGCTGCCAGAACGTGTGCATTAGACCCAAAAATCCCTAACTAGAGCCTAACAATTTTGTGTTTCAAATATGTCCTAAGGCATAGATGAGGAGTACAAAAAAATTGCACCATTTAAAGCACAAAGTCTTGATTTTTATTCACTTAGATGCTTTTAGATTTTGTTTTGTATGTTTTTCTGTTAAGAAATGAATATAAGGTCTTCATCTTAAAGATATATTTGCATTAAAATAGATTGTTAATCTGCTAGTACATCATCCACCTGAAAAGTCCCATTTTGACATCATATCCCAAAAACTGGAGGCACAGTTAGCCAGATGGCTCTTGAAATCTTCTGTTTACTTAAGATGCTCAGTAAAGCAGGATCTTTCACGTAGCCCATGCATTCCCGTTTAGAATTGCACCAAGGAAGCAGTATGGATGGAATGAGAATTGAAACAGAAATGTCAAAGTATTGTGGAAAATATGTTTTTCTCTTTCTCTCTTTTTATAGCACACATTTCAATATTTACAGCAAACTGACATATCAAACAGGTTTCTCAAGCTCTCACTTTGTTTCTCTCTCTAACTCCTGAGAGAGAGGGAAAGAGAGATCAGAGGTAATCAACGTGAGTAGATGGAAATGGATTTGATGAGAAGACTCTTAAATGGATTAGAAATTGGTTGGATGGTCATATGCAAAGGGTTAATAGCTCAGAGTCCCAGTGGACTCTGGGACTGAGTACACCCTCAGTAAATTTGCAAATCACACCAAGCTGAGTGGTGTGGTTGACATATCTAAAGGACAGGATGGCATCCAGAGAGACCTGGACAAGCTCAAGAAGCAGACCCATGGGAATCATCTCGTAGTTTAATAAGACCAAATGCAAGATGCTGCACATGGGTTGGGGTATCAATATAGGGTGGGGAATGAACAGACCGAGAGCAGCCCTACTGAGAAGGAGTAGAGGGTGTCGGTGGATGAGAGACAGGACATGAGCCTGCAATATGTGCTTGCAGCCCAGAAACCCAAGTGTATTCTGGGCTGCACCAAAAACAGTGTGGCCAGCAGGTTGTCTTAGTTTAAAGACAAATATTCGAGCAGGAACTCCAACAAAACGAACTCCCTCCCCTTTTTGTTTCCCATCAATACAGAGAGGCAAAATGCAAGGAGGTATAACTGAAAAAAATAACAATTTACTGACAAGGAAACAGCCACAACCACAAAGATGCAAAGGAAACAGCTTATCCAGAAAGAGGAGAGTTCACAACCCCACGTGGCCCTCCAGGAACAAAGGGGGAAAGAAATGGTGGAGGGTCCTCCCAGCCAACCACCCCCCCTCTGCCCAATTAAGCAAAAGAAAACATGGGAAACAGGACAAAAGGAAAAATCTAGGAAAACTGTGTTGTTCACAAAGAATTATATTATTAAACTGCCCATACTGTGTCACTTGGTCAAGTTCAGGTCTTCACTGTAGTAGTGGTGTTAGTTCAGAACCTCTTTGTCTTCTGCCACGTGTTACCTACAGCACAGATGTCGCACTGCTTGACTTGGCTGGGTGGCAGGCAATGGCAGTTCAGTCGGCTCAGCACAGGCCAGTGGTGGTCCCATGACGAGGACCAAAAATCAGACTGGGAAAGATTCAAGGCGTGGAGAAACGTCTATGGCAATTAAATGGACTGTTAAACTACCGGATGGACTGTTTTACCCCTGTTTACTGTTGAATTCACATGAAGTTTAATGTACCCCCAGTTTACTGTTGAATTTTTATATCCTCCATATTGTCCCCTTCTTCCCTCACATTTTCCCGCCCAAACTTGTTTACTCCCTTGTCCTCCCCTGCTCTCCCGCTCCTCTGCACTTGATTGGCTACAGTTTGCTGCAGTGCAGAGAGAGCTCCCATTGGCCCTTTCCCCTGGAGACCCAAGGTTGCCCTATCTCCCAACCACTACTCCCCCTGAGCTGCCCGTCTCTTGCTCCTCCCTAAGCCTGAGTCCACCCCCTGAACCTACCCTATTTAAGTCTCTGTTCCCCTAATAAAGTTGGCATTGCTTCCCGAACCCTCAGCTGTGTCCTGACCCTCATTGCAGTGCCGTGGTCCCATTCCCTTTCCCCCCGGACCGTGGCAGTCCCATGCGGTGGCAGCAGACAATTTCACTTTTGTTTTCTCCCCGGCTGCGGTGGAGGGCAAGCAGTGGTGATGGCTCAGGTAGTGGGTCCAGGCTCAGTGAGAGCAGCAAGTCTGGCAGGTCTGAGAGTGTCAGCAGTGGTGGCTGTGGCCATGGCAAAGAACAGTGCCACACGGACTCTCTAGGCATACCCATGTGGTCTAGAGGACAGAAGGAGTTTCTGTTCCCCACCCAGATGTTTTTTATTTATTCCCTTCTTCTCCTGACTCCAGAAGAGGGGGGGCAGAAATTCATACTTAAAGAGACAGTCATTCTAAAACAATGTTGGAAAAGGGAACAAAATACAAAAAACTTCCTGTAACTATAAACAAATTGAAGGAGGTGATATTCTCCCTCTACGCCACTCTGGTGAGACCATACCAAGAGTACTGCACCCAGTGCTGGAGTCCCTGGCACAGAAAAGACCTGTTGGAAAGAGGACCATCACCAAGATGATCTAAGGCTAAGAGAATTGGGATTGTTCAGCCCGGAGAAGAGAAGGCTTCAGAGTGACCTAATTACAACCTTTCAGTACCTTAAGGGAGCCTACAAGAAATATGGAGAGTCACAGGACAGGGGAGAATGGCTTCAAACTGAAAGAGCAGATTTAGATTAGATGTTAGGAAGAAATTCTTTACTCAGGGGGCGGTGAGGCATGGGAACAAGTTGCCAGAGAAGCTGTGGATGCCCCACTCCTGGAAGTGTTTCAGGTCAGGTTGGATGGGGCTTTGAGCAACCTGACCTACTGAAGTCCCCTGCCCAGGGCAGGGGAGATGAAATTAGATGATCTTTAATGTTCCCATCCAACCCCAGGAAATAGTCCCTGACATAATTTCTTCATGACCTGAGTATTTATTACACTGCACATGAGTGAGGCATTTATTTTTATGTAGTTCATTTATAATTTCTCTTGTTTGATTTGTTCTTTAGGTGTCTCAAGTTCTTTGAAATAATTTACAAAAGCTAAGCAGTGGGTAAAAAAAATTCAAATTGCAGCAAATTTTGTTCAGGTTCAAACCAAAAAAATGACTGGACTGCTGTACCAGACTGCTGTCAGACAAAGGAGATTAGCACTTGGCATGTTTATGTCCTGATGTAGTGGGAGCTAGATGAAATACCGAGGATAAAATATGCTTTACATGGAGAGCATGCGGTAGCCCAGTGGATGTACAAAATGAAAAATTATTAACTTTGAAATCCCAAACTTAAGCAAATGGAAATTATACAACACTGTGTCACATGTACTGATAGATCAGATAACTCTAAACAATATCAAGCAAAAACTTCTTTTAAACAGTAGCAAAATTTTCCTCCAGTGTTAAAAACCAGGCAATGTCTGGGGCAAAACCAATAAGGAGTATTCTTGAAATATAGTAACTATCAAAATTATATGTCATGATATTTGTCCTTGATACTATGGACCAACTCAGATCCATGTTAAATATCCCATTGTTGTCTAACTGTCAGTGAAGCAGATTTACCAACAGCCTGCATGCAGACTGCATAGAGAAAATGTGGCTGCTCTCTAAGAGAAACGACAGCCATCTACTGTGCTCAATGAATCTCTCAAGGAAGCAGGACTTCTGGTGGCATATTCATTGCCTCAGGATAGGTACTGACACAACGTGCAAGCAAATGTGTTGTGTTTCTCTGTGTAAATGACTTCATAATACTGTAGTGAAGGAAATCTCCAAGATCCCTTAGATAAAACATTATTGGCTTCTCTTTATATACTGCACTATGGAAAAAAAGGGCCCAGAAATTACAGGAGGTTAGTAAAATGAAAAAAATCTGGGAACCTTTACATGACATCATCTATGACTTTCTGGGGGATAAGTTATTTGCTTTGTGCTCCTATGAAAATGAGACTATAGCTTCTGCTGTCAATTTTTATCAGTAAATGACTGCATTTTGCAGCTCTCTTGGAGAGCTGCCAATTGTAAACATTTGAGGTCAGATCTAAATAACTTTATTCACATGAGTTTAAATAAGTCCTCAAAAAAGGCATCCAATTCTGGCCCAGACAACTGGAGAATTTCAGGCTAAATTCTGTAACTGTTATTCACACAGAGCAATATTCAGCTGCACTTGACCCAAGGAATTCAACCTTGCGTGTTTATCTAATATAAAGAACTATGCTATGATGTCTCTATGTAATTTGAACGGGTCCTCTGGAAGCAAATGTAAAAATGTAGCCACTTTTAAATGAAGTACTTACTACGTGTCTTGGCAATGACAAGCTTGAATAATCATTTTACCTATTATTTAAAATTATGCTTTTTAATAACCATGTTACCTCCCATTATGCCAAACTCAAGAACATTTTTGACGGCTGGAAGTACTTGACCATGTATCCAGTGCCCTCACATCTTTGCTGATTGATGTCAATACCCAATAGACCAAAACACAGGACACTGGCAAGGGTAAGACTAGTCTGCTGGATGCTGCAAAGATCATACCTGCAATTGCACAAGTGAAGTGGAGAAGAATAAGTTATATCCTGTATAGGGCTTCTCGTTAGACACTGCTACTGAAACAGGGCTTGGTGGCACTTGGGAAGCCAACTTGCACAGCAGGAAAGAGCCATCATGTTCTTGTGCAGATATTGCTGAGGGGGGGGCACAGTCCAGAGCACACATTTCTGCATGTTTTACATTGGGCTGTCTGACCCAGGAAACAAAAATGCCTCAGCATATCCTACCTGCCAGTGTCCACTGATGCCATCAGAGAAAGCTTGGGCTTCATTACACCTCGTTGCAAAACAGCCTCACCTTTCTCCTGCATGTGAGGTGCCTGCCAAAGACAGGCTGAGAAAGGAGCCAATTTTGCTTGTGGCCCACATGCTCAAAAAAGTGGTTGACTTAAACCGAAAGCACAAATCTGATTATCAACCTCAATGGGAATTAGAGTGTACTTAAGAGATCTCCAGCACTGCAAATTCATAGTCCCAGAACAGCCCATATGTCTTTGTAAAGCACTTAGCATGCTGGACTTGCAGCCCTGTGACTAGAGGCTCACACAAAAGGGAGGGCATTTGACAAAGCAGCAAATGCGGGTTATCATAAACTGCCCAGTTTAACATCTAAGAAAATTTGTTGAATCCTGTATGCCCAAATTAGATGGGGTATATATTGCTTAACTTCGGAGTATTCTCTACCATGTCATTAAATTAAGACCATGTATTGTCTGAAACCATGGGACCACCTAAATTAGTAGTCTGGTTATGGCCAGTAGCAGATGTGTGGGGAACAGAATAACAGACACATATACAATGATCCTTCTCTTGTATTCTTCTAGCCTTTGACAAAGAGAGAATTAGAGATCTCTTTGAGCAACAGACTGCATGGAGGACACACCCAGCATCAATGTTCATGCTACTTGTATCTAACAGATCTCCTCTTCTCTTAAATTTTTTATTTTTTCTGAAAGTGTTTATGCAGCACCATGACATGATGTTCTCATTGATACTATGAAAAAGTCAAATGGGTCTTCATTCCTAGAGGAAAAAAAAAAACTGACTGTACATACACTCTTTGGCAAGAATATTTCCTCGGATTCCTTCTGCTAAGTCATATTTTTTTCCCCAGGGATAGTTCTCCGAGGCTGTTCAAATAAGATTGTTAGTGTATTACAACCGTTGTATATTGATTACTTTGAGCAAAGCTTGGAAAGGTTCTGACACTATTTTAAAGAGGAGACAACAAAAAGGGAACAATCCGAAAGATTTCACTTTCAAACATGCTGAATTTTTTTTGTTTGTTTTGTGTTTTTACTCCTAACTCTCCTCATAAGGTGTACATTAAAGATCATTATCATCAATAAGAATTTTTCCTCCTCTCTTCCTTTTCTTTTCAGATTCAGAGTTTTGAGAATGAAAGTCTACGTGGAAATGCTCCTGACCCCACTTCAGTTGAGTGTTAAGAAACGATTTACTCATTTTTATTTTTAAAACACTGTTTCCATGTAACTGCTTCTAAAATTTACCTAACAATACATTTTCCCTCTCTGCTCCCATCACCTCTGGCATTTGAATGCATCATTCTAGACATGACAGTCTAGATTATACAACTTGATAAATCATAGGGCTGTAAAATAGCTTGTCAAGGAGACACAGTGAGTGCACATGAAAACAGTATCTCACATGCGCAACTTTGAGTGTGTGAGGTCCCTGTTTGATGCTTTAAGCAGACCTCTTTTTGGTCTACGAAGCAACACTAAATGTGTGCTCCTCCTTGGTGAATTATTTGCCAGACTCAAATGACCCCTTATATACTAACTCTCAGATCCCTGGGAGGTAAGTCAGCCAGGAAACTGGAGATAGTAGCTCTGCAGCCATTCTGTACCCAACTCAAACAGGACCATTCAACCAGAACTTTCTGGTGGCGGCATGGCCTCTACCCCATCATCCGTGTCTACTGTATCACATAGCCACCACCACATGAGCTGACGTAACAGTGAATCATATGTTAGAAAGTAAGTTATTTGAGGAGCCTATGAAAGGATTAACAGCAAAGCTGTTGGACCAGATGTTATGCTGTCATTTGGGGCAATCTGAGTTTGGATCCTGAGAAGCATTTGCTCTCAGGAATGGCGATATTGGGGAAATGGCTCTTCAGTCTCCAAAGCAGGAAATACCTGTCCTTGCTCCCTAGAGACCTTTCCTATCCAGTGCTTAGAGCAGAAATGGCAGGGTTTAGGTTTTTTAAATGGGGCATAAGTTTAATGTGAAAAAACTAATAAGTAGCAAGTAGCAGACAGCAAAGGAGAAAGCTGGAAGTTTGGTGAGCCCTCACCTTTCGTGAACTACATTATATTACTTCCATGGAGCCAACACAAATAATACAGCAACCCAAGTTCCTACACAGGTATCTAAAAAACCTCAGATATCCACTGGTGCTGGGCATTCAGAGGTACCCTTGACTAGAGTGACAGCTGTATTTGCAGGAGTGAAACTGTGAGCCTGTTTAAGGTAAAGGCATATGTCCTACTGACTTCAGTGAGATCAGTGTTTTTATCAAAATGTGTGGGGTTTCCTTGGTTAATCCTAGAGCTCAGTGAAGGTGATGGAATAGAATAATGAATTCCTCAGTTCTGAAGCATTTATTTGTGTATTCAAATTATCTATAAACATATTTGCTGTTTTGCTGAGGGATTGGTGGTGGTGGTGTGATGTCTAACGATATAATAGATTGCATACCTATGGCATTCTGTCAGAGCTGTATGTGTCCAGTCTGTCCACACATGGCTCTGGCATCTTATGGGGTTTAATGTCAGGTCCTTGTTGCTATTCAGACTTGTCATCTGAATTACATAAGGTTACTTTGTTTTTGTTTTCTGATGGATGTCTTGATCTTCACGAACAAAGATGAGAACCCATAGCAGTAGTTTTGCTCATAACAGTATCTACAGAAAGAATAGCAATTTCCCAGGATTGGTGCAATGAAAAACACCATTTGGATAAACATTCAGTGATAAATTAAAAAAAAGAGAATGTGGACATAGCCCAGTGGGGAAAGAATTCAAAACGTAACAACATAGACACAAATGCTTTTTTCTTTTCTTTGTCCATCTCTAAAAAATGACTGCACTATTTAATTATGGACAGCCTTATTTAGAGGATTAACATGTTGTATAGGTATAGCAATCACAAGACAAGGGGGAAAAAAAACCAGTATGTCCTGAATACTCTTTTATGACCTAGGAATAAGCACATGTTTAGTCTTAATTTCATGGCAGAAAATGCAGACAGCAATTATTTGATTTAATTCTGATAAGACTGTCATTCAGTTAAGTGGTCAACCAAAATCATACAAGTGAACTGAACTTATGTAAGGTGTATGCCTTTGCAGAATCATAATACTATTTTAGAGTTTTGTTTAAATACTGTAGTGTCTCTCTCTTTCTTTCTCTCTCTCTCGTTTTCTCTGTTGTTTTAAAGTCATTGATGCTTGGCCTAAATTTAAAGTAGAGATTTCCAGCTTTTTTTTACAGGCTTTTTTCATATTCTTCCTCTTTTTTCCACTGCTATTAAATGGCATATACCTTCATACCCAAAGAAGTATTTTTGCGGCTTCAACTTGCTTACCTACCTTTTAAGAAGGTTCCTATCAAAATTCATCAGAATGTGGCTCAAACCCATAAGTAGGGGTCCTCAAAATATGAGTGAGTGGGAAATAGAGTCCATCAGGAGCCTACACAAAGAAAACCTCACCTTCTGTCAGAGCATGCCTGAATTTGTATTTGGCCTCCAAATTCCCTAGGGCACAGGCTGCCTCTTTTTCAAGGCTCTTGGAGCACCTTATACCATAAGGGTCCACTCTCATTTGACTGTGGGCTCTTTTGGAAAGGATGTGAGTGATAATGAAGATGTGAGAGCTTGACATGACCTTGCTGAAATGAGAACTCACCTGAGTGAAACTGTGAGGTTCCCAGTATGTGAAGAAATAGAGATAGACAGGAACAGACTGCTTTGCCTAGATAGAGCATATTAGAGATGGGTATAGAAGTACTTGTCCCAGTGGTATTGTCCCTTGGCTGTGTAACCTGGCCTCAATTTTAGTCCTATTGCCTATTTTTCTACATGCCCCATGAAAGCCAATTCCCTGGCCGCTGTGTGTCTTCTTTATATTTCTTTTTAATGTAGATTCTAGCTGTTTAACTGCAGTAGACTTTATGATAAGGCTTTTTTTCCCCCTCTCTTGGCAGAATCCCGAGACTTAATTTTAAAAGACGTTCAAACCCCTAAACACTCCTGAATGACTTACAGGAAAAGAAGAGTGTTTGCTAGCTCTGTTTTTAAAAATATTACAATCTTTTCTTATTATGCAATTTTGTCATTGTTATAAATAAGTAATTGTACTGGGGAGAAGGGATAATCCTTATTTAATTAAATTCATCTATAGTCCCAGGTTGGCAGCAACCAGACATATGTGAGACTAATACCCACAGCCTGCCTGTATGCATGTCCAATTAAAAATTCACTCTACACTGGCACTGGCAGTTTAGTGTTGCTTTTGGCATTTACAGATTCTTTTATTTTGTGATTTTTTTTTTTACCATACACATATGCTGGAGCAGATGTTGCTTATTTGTTGTTTATTCAAATCTGTAGTCTCTGGCAGCTACCTCCATTGTTCTGTAATGAAGCTTTATTCACTGTCCTGTATTAGGACCCAGCAAACGCATGATGGGCAGAGTTAGCTCTCAGCAGGAGCTACAGTTATTGTCCTTACTTATTGGCTGTTTATATTCTAAAGCTCAAAGTTGAGAAAGCTGGCTGGGCAGGGTAAGGGGTTATATGCTGTGTGCAGAGGAGTAATACTTGATTCCACTTACTTTATCCCTGCCCTGATAAGGTACAGGCTTGCATGTAAAATCATCTGTTGCAGAGGTTTTGTATTCAGCACTTGAAAAATAGAGCTGTTCTCCCCCTCCACTCCCTGTCCCATCTTGTTCTCCTCCTTCTACTCCTGCTGTTCCTTCATTTTTTTAGTCAGCCTTTGTAAAGCACTGGGTATAACTAAAGGATGTTTCAATGCTGCTCACTCCTGTTAACTCAGCATGTGCCTGAAAATTCATTAAGAGCAGTGCCTATCAGGGAGGCATGGGAAGTGTGTTATTTTGGTGCATGTTGTAGTCACCCACTACCCCTTGCTCCTAGCTTACTTCCCTCTTCCTCTGCAGGGTGCCCATGCACCGGACAGGCAGCAATTTCTGCATGGTGCTGACCCAAGCAGACACTGCTCCCAGGAACTCCAGTGCCAACACAAAGGTATTAGCCTGCTGGAAAAGCCCTTGGTAGCCCAAGAGGTAATCAATCAGGCAAGTAACCACCTCCATCTGTCTCACTGTGACATGGTAGCTTGCTACCAATGCACTTGTGATTCATCTTGTCCCAACTGGTGGTGCCAGGGATCACATACACGCAGTTTTTGCAGCAGCTGGGAGCGTCCCAGCTTCCCTGCTGCTGAGCTAACACATTAGCTTCTGTGACTGATCAAGTAGGAATTTTTGCAGTTCTCACACCTTCACTCCTCCTACTCACCAACTCCTCCAATGGTTTCGCAACACGGCGATATTCACAGAATGCAACTGGTATTTCTTTTAATTGACTGAGTGCTGAGAATGTGAATCCTGTTTATTATCCATTGTAAATTTTGCCTGCAATTGAAGGAACAATGTCTTCAAAAGTACAAGAAGAAAAGGTATGTATATTTCCTGTGCTTCAAAGAGTACAGGATTTCTGTGTACCTTTCTCTAGTTTCAGTATTAAGAAGTGAACTGCTAATTCATATATCATATTTTTTATAGTGCCAACACAACACTGTTTTTCTTTATGTATAACACAGTGACTTTTAGTGTTAAGTACATATTAAAGAAAAGGAAAAGGCAAAGAGACAGGCAAAAGGAAGACTTGTTAAATCTGCAATCAAAAATTGGGAGCTGAACTTAAAAATCTCCTACAACTATTCTTGTGTTGATACCAAATGACATTTATAATAAAATTTGTCATTGGTTCATGATAACATACAATCTCCAAATAACAAGTTCTCCCTTCATAAAACACAGTGGATAATAGATCCGTGGATCCCTCTCTACAACAGTTTTATCTTCTGCAGGTGTCCTGGCACAAAGGAGACATACACCTTCTTTAGCTTCTCTGGATTGCCTACATTTGTTTGATGAGGCTGTAGCCCATCTTATACATTTGAACCATATAAAGGCCTTCTTATTCTTTCCCATTTCTTACATTATGGATCTGTAAATGAGAATAAAAGGAAGCTGTAGCATTTTAATTCATTTTTTGTCCTGAATAACTCTGGAGGCAAAGTGGTGTGGTCCCAGAAAGAAGCAGAGAGAAAAGAGCAAAGTGAAAAGCAAAGTTGTGAAATGATGAATCTTCAAACTTCCCTGTAT